GGAAGGGGGGAAAGGGGGGGGGGTATGCACCTGCTAGTGTTTAGTGTGTTTATTAGTTGATCTTGAACCTCCCATCTAATAAAGTCAGTGCTCCTCATTATTCCGCTAATCTAAGAAGCATCAGGCTCCGAATGATTTTGAGCTTATATAGCAGTCGGTAGACCATGTACACGTATTAGCAAACTTTTAATAGGGATTGTATTTTTTGTTGTAAGAATTAGGTTTACCACCTTCTAAATTTTTCTCTGGTGTTTTCTATTGCTAGCTTTGTCTTCTTTTTCTTTTGGTTGTATGGGGGCAGAGGAAGAGGATTTTCACCATGTTTTTTATTTTTATTTTTATCTTTGCATTTGATGAGAATTTTAAAATGTTGTAGCAATTGTTGGAGATATAACTCCATCCGATGGTGTGCCTAAGGCTGAGAAAAGCAGACGTGAGCGAGCTGCCTTGAATGAAATGTGCAAAATTCTTGGCGGAGGGATGAGAGGTATTCCCTTATGGTTTTTACATATCAACAAGGTTTATTTATATTTCATATCATACTCATTATAAAAAAAAACATACTTTATATTGCATTTTCTAATGTTATGCTTTATAATATTCCAGCTGAAGAGATTAAAGAACTGTGGCAAGAGTATGAAAATAATGCTTCATTGGAGGCCAATCTTGTAAAAGATTTTGACAAGGTATGAATACTAGCTTCATCTTTTATCTAAGTGAAATTTTCATACAGGGAAAAGTTTCACATCTCGAATATAATAATTTAGTTCTGTTCAAAGTTTGGCTTTCCAAAGTCAGTAGTATGCAATTCATTTTTAAAATATAAATTTAGTACTCTTTATCAATTACTGGTTCTTTCAACTACGCCTCCTTTAAAGTTAGTGTATATCCTCCATGGGAACAGTTGGAGCGATTGTGATATGCTCATGTAACTTAATATGTCTTGCTGACTGGAAACTGGATAAGAATGTATTTATCAGATAGGAGGCCTGCCTGCTTGAGTAGTCCTCTTCCTGAGAAGTGAACTAACCTGATGCAGTGAACTAACGCGACACTTGGCAGAACTTTACTTAAAATACATATTCATGCCTTTTTTTTAAATTCTGGATATACATATGCATGCTAAGTTTTCCTCTTTCATGTTGCATATCTCATCCTTCGGCAAGTTGGTTCTTATCATTCTAGTAGATCATTGAATCTTATAGCATCTGATGGTTTCACCATTTTCCCGATCTTCAGGTTGAAATGATTCTGCAGGCATTGAAATATGAATCAGGTAAATAACTCATCTCCAATGAATTAAGTTAACGTATAAGAACCTATAATTTTTGCTGAAATTCTTTTTCTTCTTTGTGCTTCTCACGGATTTCCGTATGGTCTTATGCTTTTGGCATACCTTGTATAATTAAGGCTTTGTTCCTGTATTTAGATGTCATTGATACATCCTTTTCTCTCCTGAGATTTAGATGCCTAAGACACTCAAAAGTAATATAACCATTCAAGATGTTTGAGCAGCATGTAGTAGGCAGTTAAGTATCCGCTTTACTAAAGCAGTTCCTTGTTGATTCATTTAAGACTGCCGATAGAAAGTCGAAGTGAAAAGTTGATCCGAGTATCAAATGACAAAAGGGGCCATAAAACTAATTTAAGTGTTTCTTCTCCAATTTGTTGTCAAACTAATTTTGCGAAGTTGTTCCTTCTCCAATTTGTTGTCAAACTAATTTTGCGAAGTTGTTCCTTCTCCAATTTGTTGTCAAACTAATTTTGCGAAGTTGTTCCTTCTCCAATTTGTTGTCTATCAGGACCATAGATAGTCATCATTTGGTTTTAAATATTTTTGCAGCTTACCGATCAGTCTCACTGTCACCATTTGTGTCACCCCTTGAGCATTGAAGTACTAACAGAAATGCAGCTAAAAACATTTAATTTCTTTCTGCAGTAAAGTGTATTGAAATTTTAAAGGTTCCTGGATGAGTCATCTATTAGTACAGTCAAACCTCTCCATAACAGTAACCCTATATAACAACATTTTACTATCAAAGCCAAATTTTTTTTGGAACTGATTTTTCATGTTATATTTACCCGCTACAACAGCTTTTTACCTATATAACAGCTTTTAAAAACAGGTTGTCATATTACATTTGATGCAGCATGATTTTCTACAATCTTCTACACGTTTTCCTTTCTGTTCGTTTTACTGATAGACCTTCTTATGACAGAACACGGAAAGGTGCTGGACGAGTTTTTCCTTTCAACTGCAGGTAAGTGATCCTTTAATTCAGCTTAGGAAAAAAATGAGTTATTTTTCTTGCCCGTCATTGAGTTACTTCTTGACATTGTATATATATATTGACATGCAGGAAAATTTCAAACAGAAATAGGAAAAAGCTGGGCTGCTGAAATCCATTCCCGGAGAAACTCCAGATTGGAAAATAGACTCTGATCCTTATTTATATTTTGCATTTATACAGTCTTTGCGCCTTCTTTCTTCAAATAACTGAGAGATAGTCTAATGTGTTCCTATAATCGGAGAGTAAAAATGTACTCGCTTCTTGTTCAGCTAAGCTCAGATTAAGCTGAACGGTCGAAGTAAAATTTAGGTAGGAGATTCTGTAATAGGGATATACTTACCTGTTGCATGCACTGCGTACGTGTAAGTTCTTTTTCCCGAACTATTTTGCTTCTCTTGACAAGCTGAGATCTTCACATTGCTTTCGAAAAATTCAGCAGTTTTTGCTATGATCGATTATACTGTTCCATGTAGAGTAATATGTGGATTTACTACATTCCCCAAAAAGACAACAAGAACAACAACCCAGTAGAGGGTTGAGTATACGCAGGACCTTACCGGAGGGTTAGAGAGGCTATTTTCAGGAGACTTTCCAAACAAACAAAAAAAAAAGACTAGGTTGGAGAGAAAAAAGTGGATTTTCATTC